TACCAACGCCAACACCAACACATTAATGATATGGGGGCATGGGCGGGCCACTACAAATCCGCCCCGCTATGCTACATTGCCATTTATAATTGGAACTTGCAAAGTGTGCTATGAGAGTTTATAGAGTTCATCACAGATTTTACTTTAATGATATATACTATCAATTTTGTTTGTTTGTTTGTTTTTTTATTTATTTATTTTTATTATTGTAAATCAACCACAAAAAATTTGATTGATATGATATTCATAATCATATAATTTGATCATATTTATATTAAAAAAAGAATGATCTATTTTAAAAAATGTATTTATTGTCAATTTTTATAAGATAATGAAATTATATAGTTATGAATATCAAATTAATAATATTTCTATGAATGATCTTCACACAAAACTCCACAAATGAAAAGTTCATATCATTAGAGTGGATCCGCGGTGAGCTCGCAGACCCAAATGTCACCTCTCTGGTCCACAATTCTTTTCCTTAAAAATAATATATATAAATTTAACATAAAAATAGATGTAATAAAAAAATTGAAGGTGGATTCCCTCTGATCCATCTGGGCCCATGGACTCATCACGAGTTTCGTTTTGATAATTTATACTGTTGAATTTGTCAGACATTTCTGATGGAAATAGAGATGATCAACATAATATGGTGTGACTCTCCGCATCCAATTATTTCCCATAGCTTGGTGATTGATCCTTCTGGCAAGAAGGATGTAAATCTAGAAGGTTTGGTTTTAATTCCAAAATGAAGAGATAAGATTATATGAAGCATTGTGACTATTGGGTTTGGAGACTCAAACCAATGGTTATAACCATTGATGAAGAGATATCATGTAGCGTATAAATAGATGGCCGGAACAATGGAACAACATACTTGGAATTGTTAATTATTTTCTCTCTTTGTTTTAACTTTTGGATTGTATATTTTTTTTTTTTTTTTTGATCAGCAAAATGAAAATATATTGAAGATAAAGCAATATACAATCGACAAAACAGCAACAAGTCCGCCGGGGGGGGTTACAAAGTTTGGCGAGGAGCCAATCAAACACCCGAACTCCAAAACTGGACTACTGAACAAAAAACAAAAGAACAAACAAACAGCAGCAAGGCGAAATTGCAGCTGAAGGCCTGAGAATTAGCACAACAACAATCCTAACAACAATCCATACATCACCACCTGCTGAAGGCCTGAGAATCATCATTAGTGGCTGCAAACAAGACATCAACAACAAACCAAACTCCAAGCCAAAACCAATTTCCTAACAAGCATAAACCAAACAGAACAACTCTTCAAAATCTGCTACAGGGGAAATAGATTTGCCTGCTAATCGACGCACTGCCTGATCTGATGGAGGTTTGAGACAAGGTCATGGACTGAGTAATCGACCCTGAAGGACCACTTCACCCACAGAGCGATCTGCAGTTTCAACCTCTCACTTAGACCTGCAAAATCTGGATTAACCCCCTTAAATCTGCACTCGTTTCTTAACTTCCATACAGACCACATCACAAGTGCTGGAACAGCCTGCCAAGCTTTGTGAACCCAAGACTTCGCTTTACTCCCAGACCAGCATTGGAGCAAACCCTCAACAGAACCCGGGATGACCCAATGCTGATCCCACCAACTAGCCATAGCTGCCCAGCACTTCCAAACCTGTGGGCAAAACAGCAGCACATGCTCCAACGACTCCACAACAGATTGACAAAAAACACACTGGGTCTCTGCATTAGGAGGGAGAACCCCAATCCTCTGAAGGAAGAGAGAAGTCTTAATGCGGCCTCTCCAAGCAAGCCAGCAAAGGAACTGCATCTTGGGAGGTACCATGCTTACCCACACCCCAGTTGGCACTCTCGACTAAGGGCCTTTATTTGCACCCCACCAACTCCACACCGATGATGTTGAGAACTTACCAGATGTTGATGCTAGCCAAGAGCAAGAGTCTTCAGATTCGACTCTAAGATCAGGAGATGAGTCCAGGAATGCAGTCAGCCTCTGCAGCTCCTCTTCCTCCCATGCCAACAATCTCCTTCTGAACTGGAGCTGCCATACCCCAAGATTCTTTTTGGCACTAATTTGCTGTAATGTTCCATCCTTCTCAGTGGATAGACTGAACAGTCTAGGAAACTCCTCATTCAGACTTCTACCATTAAGCCAAGCATCCGACCAAAACTGGATCCTTCTCCCGTTTCCTACTGATAGCTTGAAGTTCTGGGAATAAAACTCACCCAAAGACTGGTTATTTAAATTGAGCTGCACAATATCCTTCCATACAGTAGACGCCCCATCTGTGTTGGACAAAGTTGGTGCCCAATCCCCTCCTGAACGCCCATACCTTGAGCAGACTACTGATTTCCATAGGGTTTTATCCTCTGTCCCGAATCTCCACCACCATTTTAACAGCAAACAGTCGTTCACTTCACCCAAATCTCTCACACCCAAGCCCCCTTGACTTTTATTCCTAGTTACCTCACCCCAATTAACCAAGTGTATACACCTCCCATCCTTTGCTCCTCCCCACAAGAAATTTGATTGAATTTTAGCCAATGCCTTAGCAACCCCTTTAGGTATCTTGAAAATAGATAGAAAGTAAGTAGGCAAATTGGAAAGGACTGATTTAATTAAAGTCAAACGCCCAGCAAAAGACAGCAGCTTACTCTTCCAAGATGACAACCTCTTGCTCACCTTTTCCAGTATTGGGTTCCAAGTGCTCTTCCTCTTTGGGTTAGCCCCTAGAGGCAAACCTAAAAAGTTAAAAGGTAAGTTCTTCAATTGGCAATTCAATCTTAGAGCTAAACCCAAAATTTCATCTTCTTGGAAGCCCACACCACATATAGCGCTTTTGTGATAATTTATTTTTAGTCCAGACATCACTTCAAAACACCTCAACACCCTCTTAATATTAAGCACCTCCTCATAATCACCTTCACAAAACACTATAGTATCGTCTGCAAACTGGAGGTGAGAAATACACAAATCACTACCTCCCACAGAGGCTCCTCTAAACAAGCCCTTCTCTACCGCCCTTGCTAGTAAGAGGTTAAGAGCTTCCGCTGCTATTATAAACAAAAAGGGTGATAGGGGGTCGCCCTGCCTAAGCCCCTTCTGAGGCTGGAATTCCTCTGTAGGAGAGCCATTAACCAGCACTGAAACCCTGGCTGTGGCAATGCAGCTCCTCATCCAAACTAACCATTTCTCTCCGAAACCCAGATTATTCATCATCGACCACAGAAACTCCCAATTGAGTGAGTCATAAGCTTTTTCAAAGTCCAATTTTAGGATAATGCCTTTCTTCTTCGATGTTTTCCAAGCATCTACAACTTCATTAGCGATTAGCACACCATCTAGGATTTGCCTCCCACACACAAAAGCGGACTGAACCTCGTTGATCACAGCTGGCAACACTCTCTTAAGCCTCTTTGATAGCACTTTTGCCAAAATTTTATAGACCGAGCTCACCAAACTGATAGGTCTATAATCCCCCAAGCCTATTGGATTAACCTTCTTAGGTATAAGAACTATGAAAGAGCTATTAACTCCTCTCGCAAGCTTACCATTTTGGTGAAATTCATTGACCATACTAATGATCTCCCCTTTCAAGATTGACCAGCAGCTTTTAATGAAATTAAGATTAAAACCGTCTGGGCCTGGGGCTTTGTTCCCATCGCAAGCCTGCACAGCTTCCCAAACCTCCTCCTCTGTGAAAGCAGCTTCCAAACTACCAACATCCGTAGGGCTAATAACAGCAAAAGGGCCAAGAAGTTTTGGCCTTAGCTTTCAATCCTCAGAGAATAGTTGACTAAAATGCCTAACCACTTCCTGCTTGACCTGAACCGGATCCTCCACTCTCCTACCCTCCACTACGACAGAGTCAAGTAAATTCTTCCTCTGCCTTCTGCTAGCCATAATGTGAAAGAACCTAGTGTTTTTATCACCAGACTGAGCCCACATCTGCCTAGACTTTTGGTGCCAAAGCCTCTCCTTGCTTCTACCCAGCTGCCACACCTGGCTCCTTACTTCTCTTCTTCTCGATAGTTCCACTTCCACTAGAGTTCTAGACTCTGCCTTCAGATCCCATTCATGAAGCTCCTCCTCAGCCTTCTGTAATTGAGTATCAATATTACCAAACACCTCCTTGTTCCACATCCTTAAGTGGCTCCTAACCAGGTTTAGTTTTCTTATCACTCTAAACCCTGCCCACCCTTGAACTTGAGCTTCCTCCCACCTCTTCTTTACCTCTGAAATGAAGGATGGATGAGATAACCAGGCATTGATAAATTTAAAAGGCTTTGGTCCCCAATCCCTACCATCTTCCTGTATCAAAATGGGACAGTGATCTGAGATAGACCTTGGGAGACCCCATTGCTTAAACGAAAATTTTTCCATCCACTTCACATCTAACAAAAATCTATCGATCCTACTCCACCTGTTCCCATCCATGGCATTACACCAAGTATACTGCCTCCCAAGCAGAGGCATATCAGTTAGTTCCAATTTTTCCACAAGTTCATTAAAATCCTTCATCCCCCTATCTCTAGATAAACAACCCTTCCTTTCCCCCATAAATCTAATTTCATTAAAATCCCCTCCAACACACCACGGATTTGGAAAATGATGATGAATACCCACAAGAGCTTTCCATAACTGCCTCCTCCCAAGAATGTCATTAGGAGCATAGATATTTACAAGGGAGCACTGAAAAGAAGGACTAGAGGTACCTGATAAAATGATGAAGTTTTTACCACTGCAACAGCTCTTAAGTTCGAAGATTTGTGGCCTCCATATAGACAGTAGACCTCCAGCACTTCCCACAGAATCCATCACCATATATTCCATTTCTTCATAGGGCCAAATTGATTTCAAAAAATGATCCTCCATAATTCTTCTCTTAGTCTCTTGAAGAAAGAGCACATCAACCCCTCTCTCCCTCACCAATCTCTTTATCTTTCCCCTCTTTTCTGGTCTTCCCAAACCTCGCACATTCCAAGATAATATCTTCATATAAGCACACTATTGATTCCCAATCACCTCCGGACAGCCCTCTAGACTTTGGTTGCCCTGCCTCCTCCTCCAATTCTGCTCCTGTCCTTCTCTTCCAGCTCCACAATTCTGCCCACAACCTCTTCTTCTTTGCCTTGGTAGTCCATACCCAGCTCGGTGCCCACTCTCACTGTTGCCGAAGCCTCCTCAACCAGTTGCTTCCTTCTGTTCGGTGCTTGGGACTGAGAATTAGAAACCATTAGTGAAGCTGCTGCTTCTGCCGAAGCTCTGAGGATAGCTCCCCGTTGGAAGCCCAGCCTACCCACTACACCTCTCCTTCGGTCCGTGCCTTTTTTCCAAGACTTTCCCCTCCTCTGCGCTTCTCCAACCCGTATAAGACTCCCATTTGCAGTCCGTTGAACCCTTTTTCTCTGATTTGGTTTATTTGTTTGGGCCTCATCTGGTCTACTTAAAAGCTGAGCCATATTCTCACTTAAATCCGAGCCCATCTCCTGATTAAGTCCAATGGGCTCAACCTTTTTCTGTACTCCTTCAATTAAAACTTCTAAATTTATGCCGGGCCTTGCCTCTGCTGGCCCACTCAGCTCCCTAAGTAGGCCCATGCTGCATATGTCCTCTTCTCTACTATGAACTCCGCTCGTTCTTGCCAGGTGGGAGTTGACTTCCTGCCCCATCCCTCTCATCTTGGAACATGCACCTACACGTTCATACCCCACGCTCCTCCCAGCTGCAACCCCTGCATTTGCATGCTCCCCATCATTATCCCTACCCTACACCTCTGAGCTACCCATCACTGTCTCCACAACCCGAGAAGCCGCTTCCAGCTCTTCACTCACCATCCCCTTCCTTCCCGCATACGCTACCTGAGCACTCTTGCAATTTCCACCATTGCCATCCACCTGGTCTACCTTATCTTCACCTTTGGAATGCATCCAACCATGGTCTTTACCTCTGCTCTCGAAGGAACAATGACATAAGCTTTTAGGCAACTCTTCACAGACTCTAACCGGGATTAGATTTCCTTTATGCTGCAAAAAAATTGTTGTGTTGATCCACTCCATACATCTCGTAATCACTCTGACTCTAGTATGTTGAAAAGTTAAAGGGTTATTGAAGTCCTCTTCATATTGAACAACAAGCCCCCAATAACTGCCTATGCTTCGAGCTGTCGTGATACTCCATAAGTTAATGGGGATGCCAAAACAATGCAGCCATACACACCTCTCTTGCTCTAAGAACTGGCCTTTGTCCCACTCAGTGATTGATTCGCACCACTGCTTTCCCCACCTCTACAACTCTTTCATGCCTTCCTGCTTTTGCTGTTCTGTGGGGAAAGTTACCAGAACTATTTTACCTCCCCCCTCTCTAGCAATTACATCTTTCATGCCTCTGTGTCTCATTTCCTCTTGAAATGCCTCAAATGCTAAGAAGCTATTCAATTGAACTAGTAGACTTTCACTCCCCCACCCATTCCCTTCCTCAAAGACTTTTAACACCACCCTATCCTTATCCCTTACTTCATCACTTAGTACTGCCTCTGCATAGGATTTCTGGACTCCCTTTCCTTTCCACTGCTTTGATTGCACCCACCGATTCACTATACGATCTTCATCTTCTCTGCTCTGCCCCTTAGACTTATGTTGCCCCACTGACGGTGGTTTTTGATACTCAGCACACTTGACCCTCAGTGCCTTGTTTCCACACCACAATCCATCTGCTTTTTGAATCGCCACCCGTGCGGCCACCTCACAGTCGTATCTAACAAAACCAAACCTGGAATTTGTTGCTTTCCTCCTCTTCCCCGGGATGAACACATCTTTGACTAG